TTACATTCGCCAGATGATCGAACTCAGCAGCTGTGATCCTATTAACCACGATGACCTACAGGAACCTCTTGCGTCTTTTCCTCGCATCTCCGAACCTCTGTCTTACGACGAGTTCTTCAGGGAGTTTTTAGAGAAAAATCGACCATGTGTATTCTCCAGCAGCTTCACGCAGGAATGGCGAGCGAGAGACGACTGGGTCACACCCTCGAACACTCCCGATGTGGAGTTCCTGAGAAACCATTTCGGTGCGAAAATGATTTTTTTTTTTACGTTCATTTATGTCATCTCTCGTTCTTTTCTTCATACCTTAATCTTTATAATCTTTGTCTAGTCTTTTTTTTTATTTAATGTATACATCAATTTGCTTTCTTGTAAAATGGGTCAGTATTCAGGTTCGGTTCATGATTTCATAATATTTTTTTATTTTATTTTAAAGACGAGTTATTACTTCACGTCCTATAATCATACAAATTAATCATATTTAGAAAGGATCCATTATATTAAATTGTCACCCCTCCTTCCACTTATAAATAGGAAGAGGTGTTTTATAGATGAGAAGTGCTAGTGTGTTTATATATTAAGATATGAATACTGACCCTCTCCCTAACCTTTCACTGCTTTCTGGTAAAACAACTGATAATCTATTCCATATAAAACATAAATTGGCTTAGCCTAGTTTTATTCTATGTTAGAATGTTTAGTAACAACTTGTTTTGCAATATTATTCAGTGCCATTCATACCCTTATTAGTAATTGCCATACTGAACTATATTTATGCACATTTGCCAACAAATATGCAAATGTAAGTGACTTTTCTGGTAGATAGATGAATTGCATATATATTATACAGATTGTTCTTCAGATTGTTCAAGACTATCATGTTAATAGTTATGTGTGACTTAGTATGCAGTTCAATTAATCATGAAGATATCTAATATAACAGGTTTCAATAGCTAGTTTTAGTAAACAAGGTTTGCTTTACCAATACTTGTATTTATGATATTTTTTCTACATGTATTACAGGTGATGGTGAAGTTCCTGTTGCTGACTGTGATCAAAAGCATTATGATTCTCAAGAAAAGAAAACTTACAAATTAAGAGACTACATAGATTACTGGCATAGCCTTAGGGATCCTTGTTTGGGGAAGAAAAGTTGCCTTTATCTAAAGGTAAATAAGGCTGCATTTGTAAGGATTGTCATTTTTTAGACAAAAGTTACACAGTATATAGAGTATCCTTGTTTTTATAAGCTATTTTTGGTATACAATGTACCATTAAAATATAAAGTCATCCATTGCAGACACACTGTATAATTCATGTTCAGCCACCAGAAAATTATATTGCCACAACATACATGAAAAAAAAACATGAAGGCTTATAGTCCAACATTCATTCTAAACTATAAGTGTGGTTAAAATACTGTTGAATATTTCAATACTTCATATTCAGAGCATATGAGGTGTTGTCATTTTTTGTTCATTTGTATATAAATGAATATATTAGTAGCTTACTATAATTTTTACACAGTTTAATGTCTTTCTCTTTATTTTTAAATTTTCTTTATGAAAATGTTTTTTACTTTATACTGTTATATACATATTGATTTTTAAACATTGTACCAACTTAGTTTTATATGGTAATATATTCTGTAATGAGAAGCATTTTATCTTTACTGGTCATACTTGATTTACTCTTTTCCATCACTTCACAGGATTGGCACTTTGTTCGAGACTTCCCTGCTTACAAAGCTTACTCGACACTTCAGTATTTTTCATCAGATTGGCTAAATGAGTTTTGGCATGTACGTAGTGATATTAAGGATGACTACCAATTTGTATACATGGGACCTAAAGGAAGTTGGTAAGTAACAGCTACCAGAAATACTTTACATGATTTGGAACCTATTACTCTTTCGCAGCTGTAGTAAATTCCGTGATGATAGATTTCTTTCTCTAAAAATTATCCCTTCTAGATTTAGATTAAGTAAATGATTACCTGAAAATTATCAAATGGTTGCAGGACACCCTTCCATGCAGACGTATTTCGATCATACAGCTGGTCTGCTAATGTGTGTGGACGGAAACGTTGGGTATTTTACCCCCCTGGTGAGGACCAGTTTCTACGTGACCCATTTGGCACTCCTGTATATGATGTTGATTCTCCTGAATTAAAGTATGGATTACTAGCTAACTGATACTTTATATTTAAGTGTTCTCGATATAGAAAATTACACAAGAACAACAACTATTTGTCTTTATATTTTAGTTTTTGGCTAATTATTTGCAGATAATTCTTTTAAACAAAAGTTCTGCAGATTTTAGACATTATTATGAAAAGAAATATTTCCCTTTTGTGGCATTCCATTTGATATATATGTAATATGATTTTGACTGCATCTTTCTTTTCTGTCCAATTCACTACCCCATTTTCTCTTTTAACTCATTAGTGTTGGGTACATGTATATATCCACTGTAGTTTGTAGTTTTTCAATTTTGTCTCTACACAGATAGTTCCACAAGGCAATGTTTTTGCTTTTGTTTCAGTAATTATTAATGTTATTTTAACATTAATCATTATTATAATATTAACTGTAACAATTGTGACAAAAATGAAAACTTTTCTTTAATAAAATGAGGAATAGGAGAGTTCAAGTAAGCCTAATATTTAACTTCATGATGACTTAGTACTTCTGGAGCCATGTATATGTAGACAAAATTAATATTAAATAAAATCATAGCTTGGATATATTCACTCATACTACCAATGATCTGAATTCTTATTTTCTCTTTATTTTCCTCTGATTTTCCTTCTCTGACTCTTTATCCGTGAGTCTGACCCTTACTCTTCATCTCTTTCTTTGCTTTGCCTTAGAAGTCCTCATCCCTTTTGCCAAAGATAAAAGCATCCCCTGTTGCATTACTTGGAATGTCTTCATCACAGAGATATTAGCAAATACCCAAATGCAGCTTCAGCCAAGGGCCGGATAGAAGTTATCCAGGAACAAGGGGAAACAATCTTTGTGCCCTCTAGTTGGCACCATCAAGTGTGGAATTTGGTAAGGAAATTTACTTTTATTGACAGCCTTTTAGAATAGAATACAGATTTTTACATATATATAAGAAATTGATTTTATATGGAGACAACCAGGATAGTTTTATTTTTATGTTGTGAGGTGTAAGTCTCAAGTAAGGTTAAGAAGTTACAGCTAGAGGCTATTTCAGAAAGAATCACTTCAAACTCCATTCATGTGAAGAAGTTATTGATAGTCTTATATATTCTTACAGGAAGATACAATATCAATCAACCACAATTGGCTCAATGGAACCAATCTCCACAGAGCATGGTACTTTTTGGTTGAGTCTCTACAGCAGGTGAGAATGCCAAAAATAGTATTTTTGTTGCAAGAATAATCAGCTGTTCAATTTAGCTTTGATTAACGTCTATTCTATTATCTGTAACAAGTAGCCACAAGAATTTCACAAGAAATAATAAGTGATTCATTGTTAGTCATATGATAAATATATTTCTGTTGTAAATGAACTCACCTTGCTTTTGTGTTTGAAGGTGGAGTATGCCATAAGGGACTGCAGTGACATGGATGATTGGACAGGGCAGTGCCAGCTTCTTTTACATGCTACACATGGCATGGATTACCATGAATTCTATACTTTTCTTCAAACTATTGCCAGAAGAAGGATTGAGACTCTCACTGGTAGGTCATGTATATTTGTCTGTTTTCTCTCTCTCTCTCTCTCTCTCTCTCTCTCTCTCTCTCTCTCTCTCTCTCTCTCTCTCTCTCTCTCTCTCTCTCTCTCTCTCTCTCTCTCTCTCTATGTGTGTTTCCTTCTCTGCCTCCCTCCCTCCTTCCCCCTTCCCTCCCTCCCTCACTAACTCACTCACTCACTCACTCACTCACTCACTCACTCACTTACACCTCCCCTCCCCTCTCCTCTCCCCTCCTCACTTCTGTTCAGTTCTCTTCTCTTCTCTTCTCTTCTCTTCTCTTCTCTTGTCTTTCTCCTTTGCTAATTATCCATCTTTTTTTTTCAGGCAAGAAAACACATCTCAGCTTTGGGATTTGGGAGACTGGCAAGAATCACATCTTGTATGACTTGAAGAAAATCCAGTGGTGTTTGGAACAGCTGTTGGACGACGAGCGGCTCGACACAATCAAGGGATTCTCCGATACAGAAAATCATCCTTCAGTTCTCCTTGATCAAGTTGTGAATGTGCTTTCGTGATTTCTTTTCTTTACATTTTTTTTTTTTTTTTTAATTTAAAGACTCATTTTCAAAACTTTATATTCAAGAGTAGTTTTCATTACAGATATATATTGGAATTACCTCTTGTATTTTCATAAGCTGGTATATATAACCTGCAGTACCATTATACAGTACCGTTTATTTGCACTACTTTTGCTCAAAAAAACAAAACAAACAAACTGGAGTATACCTTCTTCCTGGGATATGACTTATACACAAAGCTACTCCTATAAAAGTAGTATAGATAACATACTAATTGATTGGCTGTAATGTGGCTTTCAAGAAAGACTATAATACTCTGACTGTATAGTTTAAGGTACTGAAAGTAAAGCAAAGAATTTAGAGAGTATTTGAGGATTATTGTCCACCTTGTAAAGCATTTTTTATATTTCTGAAAAAAGTATTAGTGAAAGATAGAATTCAGGTATTAAAATGAATGGAAGAATGAATGTTTTTTTTTTACTAAAACATAATTAATATGATAAGTCAGCAACCAGAGAATGTTTAGGATATTATAAGAGAATAAATGTTGAGTACAAATGAGAAACAGGCTACTAGTGTAGTCAGCATTTGCTAGAGATGCATTTTTTAAAGGCATTACTTTTTGTTACTTAGGTATTTGTTATTGACAATAACAGTGTCTTACTTCATGTCAGTACATCTAAGAACTGCATCAGAGACAGTGTAGTTAGTGTTATACTGAGAGATTCATTCCTTCAATGGACTGAATTCCATAATTACATGATACTGTATCAGTATCTGTAGGTATTTATTAATTCATTAGATTATTATAATTCAGTTATTATTTATTGGATATTATGGTCTGTGAAATACAACTGGTAATAATATATGTACATAATAAGATTCCTAGGAAGTTCAGTGTTTAGTTATGCATTTGGAAGTAATGGGGCTAATTCACCAAAAGTTAGTGTTTAAGAAATTATAATCAAAGTTTAGCTCCTACAGTAACATTGTACATATTTATACTCATATTCATTTGTGTAGCAGATTGCAGTTATGTAAGAGAAACTATTATATTTTGTATTCTGGTCTCTGGAACATTTTCTCTATGAGTCAGATGTGATGGGTTCACCCCTTTGCTTCCAAACACCTCATTTTTGCTTTCACAGTTTATTAGAGAAGATATAGCTTTAATATAAAGCTCGTAACAGCTTTTTGCCTTAGAGAACTTCTTTTCTTGTTGATGTTAGCTGACAGTTGGTTCCTTCATTTCTCCTAAGGGTTCTGTCTAGTTTGTACTCTAGTACAGCAAAATATAATTAAGTCCTTTCGTACTCTTGTGATATCAGCTAATTTATTTACTTGCTTGCAGAGATCTACTAAGGACTGTTTAATTTAACAAAACAGTTTTATCACCACAGATGTCACTTTTATTCCTTTGTATGTGGGTTTGTGTGTATGTGTGTGTACCGGGCACGTATTTTGTGAATTTTGTTGCACACAGATGGCTCCACAAGTGCTCAGCCGCCAAGTTGGTCAGTTAGTAGGCCTAATGGTGAACTTACCAGATTACCCTATTCTTTGAATATTTGTAAAAAAATGTTTCTTCCAGATGTTGTTAATATTTTTACTGTTATTATTAGTAATAACATTTTGATTATGATGTTAGAATATTAATAACAGTAGAAAATAACAATATTCCTCCTGAAAATCAGGGGAAAAGGTAAACAGGTTAAATATGACTAGTGATTAAGTACGTGTGGAGCCATCTATATGTAAACACAATTTATAAGATAAAATCACACTAAACATGGCATATGTTTCATGCCATCTCAGCACAAAGGGTTAAGATTAAGACTCAAAGTGATGCTCTTATGTAATGTTGAACAAACTTTGGATCATCAGAGACAGTGATTCTCAACAGAAGGTATGTAAGTTCCCAGTAACATGGGGAAACTTAGACACAAGAGTTCTCAGAATACTGTACCTGGGTTTGTAGTCAGGTTAAAGTTATGGAATCATGCAAAGGTTGTGATAGTTGTTGGTCAAGACATAGAGGCCTAGCCGTACGTGAACTTTAACAAAGTAAACTAAACTTTTTCTTTATATATTTATATAAAAAAGTTGATGCTATACATAAAATAGTTTGTCATATACATAGGAAGAAAGCATGTTGAGAACCACTGATCTATAGTATCCAAATAATTTCAAGTAACAGATATTAGATTGCATACTCCCCAGACTGCATCTCTGTATTTATGCTTTCTAATGTCTCTGTTTGGATTGTCATTATGGATTCAGAAGGTTGTAAGTAATAATTTATTGGAAACATACCTCATTTAGATTGTTGATTTGACTTGCTTCTATTGAGGCATTTGTTTACCATGTTTCAATTTTAAACAGTTGGCAAAAGTAAACCAGATTCATTATTCACATATGGTTATTCATGTTATAATTCTTCACTCTGAAATGTCTTAATAAATGCACATTATTTATGAATTTGTATTTATCAGTATAGAAGTAGTGTCATTTTCAGGTAATTGTACAATTGTCTATGTATTTACATTAAAATTTCTCAGTCAGAGGCAAATATTGTTAATTATGGTGTTTCTTATATCAGAGTATGTAATTTTTGTTGCTCAGAAATGTGAAAGTAATGTGCAAAGGCAAATCTGAAAATGGCTGAGGCAGCTTACACTTCAGCCTCCTGAATTCATAATTTTTTTTTTTTTTATGTTAACTAAGTCATTTTGTGTGTTCTGTTATATTGTGATATACTTGGTTAAATAATACACACTATTATGTGTAGATGCCTCCTTGAAATAGCATGGTTAATAAGTGTATCTTGAGCTTCCTCTTGGGATTAATATAGTGCTATTGAGTTTAATGTTTTATACTGAATTAATGATATCAGAGTTGTTTCATCAGTGCAGATGATGCTTTTTATGCTGCTTAGAAGAACAGGGGTATTAGATTTATATTCCTGGGTACAACTTCAACAGATAAACCTTTGTGTGCTCTTGTCGTGATATTATACTTCTGTTGTATAGTCAGCTTATGGAATGTGATAGTACTGTGTTAAGATTTATTTGTTTGAAGCATCAAAGTATGGTTTACAGTTTATCTTTATGAATGGTGCTAAAGCTGTACATACCTTGCCTTATCTAGATCTGCTTCCAGTAGAGGTAACAAGCTGATGAGACTTCTACTGAAGGAGCACTGTGGATTAAGGACAAAGGTAAAAGTACCGGGTCATTAGACTATTTGAGTGCAAGTGCTTTGACTTCCTGCAATTGCCTTGATTCCATGAAACTCAGTTCTTTTCTTGTTGAAAAAATAAAGTCTTCACCACTTTGGAATGTTACTGATTTTCTTATTTCTTGAAAAACAATGATCTAAACAGCATGTATCATGAACCTGAGAAAGCATATCAGGGCAGCAGAGTTACAGACAAATAGTTCAAGTACTCTGGTTTATGTACTTCATGAATCAAACTTTATCAAACTTCCGAATACTATCTTAGTCATTTTATTTCTGAACACATGTGTGTGTGTGTGTGTGTGTGTGTGTGTGTGTGTGTGTGTGTGTGTGTGTGTGTGTGTGTGTGTGTGTGTGTGTGTGTGTGTGTGTGTGTGTGTGTGTGTGTGTGTGCGTGTGTGCGTGCGTGTGCGTGTGTGCGTGCGTGCATGCGTGTGTGGGGAAGAGTATGTGTGCCAAGATGTCTAAGTAATTTACATCGTATTCATGAGTAAAATGAATACTTTGATATATAAGCATTTAGTGTTGCAAAATACTGTCATGCCTTACATATTGTCATTATTGCAATACTCAAAAACACAAGAATTACATCTTTTTGCTGTTACAGTCATTGCAACATAAGTAACAAAAATCCATTAAGTAGTAGACCTAATGTCTCCTAATATATGTTCTGTTACGTCAAATCTGATTAGTTTTGTGTATCCTGAATTCCCTTCACTACAATTTATATTCTACTATGACTGCTTTAAAGAGCAGATTCTCATCTGTGGTTTGTTTTAGTAAGAAAAACTGTGCATAATATGTGAGTATCAACTGCTTGGCTGTAATAGAAGTATGGTAATATTTTGTAATTAGTCTAAAAAATGTAAAACCTTATTTGATGTATGACTGCCAATTTTAGGTTATAGCATATAGAAGAGGTAACTTCTCTTCCCAGTGTGCCAAGATTCACAGGGTTCATAAGGTAACTGATGAAATAAAGTAATTTGGCAGTAAAAAGAATAAAATCAAGATGTCTTTCTTTATACTCAGATATTGTACTGATATACCAAATATTCATGGTCATGAAAGGAAAAAAGTCTTCTTTCTCTTTTTCATTTCTCCTCCTCTCACTATTAACATCATCTTCATTGTCTAGGAATTTAGAAAAGGCATGTGAATACTGATAAATATTTTATTATAAAAAAATCACATTCAATAAAATAATGTTTGCTACTTTCCACATTTCTCAACATTAAAATTATTACAATAATTATCTAATGTCTATTAACCATTAGTTGGCATAATAAAGAAAGCTTTATACATACATCACATAAAACATGCTAAAATAACATGTAAAGAGTTCTTTCTCTTGTCTAAGGTGCCCTTTCAGAAAAATGACAAACACTTTTTAATTCCATTGTTGACCTTGCTAAATTATTTCACCCCACACTTTTGTCTTCAGCCTAAATTTTAACCAAATTATGGATAAATACCTGTTTAAGCATAATGTAATTTAGCTATCACAATTTTTTTGAGAAAAAATTAATATACTGGAAACATTATTACAGAATGTTACATATCCTCATGTACAAATAAAGCAAGATACATTCAAATTGTTAAAAGATCCTTTGTTAACAAAATGTCCCAGAACAGGCAGACATGCCTGTGTGCATTTTAACAAACACACACACTTATGCACTCATGCACACATGTACCACACTCATTCATACCCACACACCAGACCACCATACTTTCCATCACAACCACTCATGCACACAGTCATGCTAATACATTACCATCAATATTACTAATGGTGCATACTTTCATGTATTATTCAGTAAGCACAAACAGAGCTGCATAGTAGAATTGGTCCAAAGTACCAAGACTACTAAAGCCTGAATATCTTTATATAGGTTTGACAGACAGAGATTGTTGTATAATCAAATTAATTAATGGTTATGCATGAAAAAATAAACATATACTGGAACATTAATACCTGAAATTTGGTTCAGATGGGTGATGTTTCACAAAGTATCCTTCACTGAATCATTTAATGCAATTGCAAATCATACTCTATATTTTATGTAAGTTAGAATATGAGAGTTATTCTTTTAATGACAAATAAGGATACTACATAAAAGAAATTAACCTTTCAAGTTCCAAGTCCATTATACTGACGCTTATGGCTCAGCAGGTATTTTAACCATCTTCAACTTGTATCCATCAGGTAGAGGATTATCAATTTTGTGTTGTATTGTACTGCGTTCCATGATTGTCAGCTTCTGAGCCATGTTGTCCAGGATTGCACTGTCCTCGTCGGTGAGAGCAAAGTCAAATATCTGGAAGAAAGTTTTGCCAGACATTACATAAGGAAGTTCTGTGCTTTTAAGATTACTGCACTGACTGTAGCCCCATTTCTCTCCAATTTACATTTCATAACATTTATTGGCAATGACTTGTTAACAAGATATTCCCACCTCTCACTCTCGTGAAATGGCAAATTTTATCGTGGATAGGTTTCTTAGAATTCATAAATTCTTTTCTGTTAGTAGTTCCTATAACCTACTAATGACAAACCATCCTGTACTTGATTATGTAACAAAGAGCAGTAAAAAACCTAGGATGAGTTTTAACCATGCTGCAAAAATAACTTCCACAAATGTGAAATTCTTAAACTACTATAAGCAACTCAAATACTAATTAAAAAGGAGAAGAAGAAAAGAAAAACATACATCCCACTATCACAAGCCAGTATTCAGGTTAATCACACAAATGTCTATGGTACAAGTACAGGCTTCAATCAAATTAATGTTTAACAAGGTCTTGAAAAACAATATCTTAAAGTATTAAAGGGTGAGCATGAACACTTCCATTTACCATGTTGCCTGCCACAACACGTACCTCTGAAGCAAGGGAATGTGTGTGTTGGGGAGGGGCCAGGGTGTAAACAGAAAGTATCACGGCAATGAATTAGGGTCCCATGAGACATGGAAGTCATCATTTAACATAGAAAGACTATCCATGTCTTTTTGGTGCAGAACAAAATCAAACACCTGCAAGGGTAAAAGTATGTAAATACTACCATAAGTAATCTGTTATATATCAAGATAAAAAACACTACTATTGTTAGTGTTATTACAGGCTATTTATAAGGTCATGCTTTAGGTATACTAAGATGATTTTTTACTTGGTTTGGAAGAGAATGTTTGGATTCAAATAAATTCTCTAATATTACAATACAGGATTCTATTTCTTACCACAAGTATATTTTACCGCCATACATGAATTGGGAAACATTTTGACTCTATATATACTCATGAACTACTTTGTACTCAGGAGACATTGGGGATTCAATAACAATATCAAGATATTATGCCAACATTTACATTTACATATTTCAAAACATATCATATACTTCAAGAATGTAAATTTGAACACAAGTTTTATTTACTGTATATAATTTCTCTCTCTATTTTTTCTCCAAACAGGCAGAATATTAAGATACTGACAAATAAAAATAAAAAATCTACCAAATTGTATTCTCTTACACCACACCAATATTTTTTTCTGCAGAAAATGTATTTGAATCCTCACCCTTGCAAATGCCTTGTAAATGGATGGGGTAATTCAGCCTAGACACACCAAAGACTCCACACACTCAAATTTCTACCTCTGAGTTTTCTTTGACCCTGTGTTCCCTGGTTGATTTTGGGATGCAAACAACTCTATTGTGGAGATTCCAGCGAATGAGAACCTGAGCTGGGGATCTGTTATGCCTCTCTGCAATTTCTTTAATTTTTGGATCCGCGAGAATTTGTCCGTTACCTAGCGGACAGTAACCCTAAAATCAAAAGAAGGTTTTTGACATTTTTTCAAACCAAGTATAAAAGAAAGAAAAGCTCCTTAAACTGTACTTATCTACTAAGCAAGGGAAGTAGAGTAGCAATATGATCTAGCTGTGTATTTTCAGTTTGACACATACAAATAGAACAAACAAACAAAAAGATGTGGCAAGTATCAAAACCTGATTCTTTTTCTATTACAGTGAACATCTAGGTATTCCAACAGACAAATCAAGCTTATCCAATATCAGACAGAACTATAGCTAGTTAAACAAATATGAATGATTAAAATATTGGTTGTAGTACTGAATCCATAACTTGACATTTTTAGAAAATCACACCCATATCATATGCTACATCCTTCCTGAGAGAAGCCTACACAAATAAAAATACCTGGGCATTTTCCATCACCCGCTGCACTTTGGTTGATTTAGGTATAGCAGGAACCCTGCACTGCAGAGACCACCTTAGTAGAACCTGTGATGGACTCCGTCCATGAAGTTTAGCAATAGCTTTCACAGTAGAGTCCGCAAGTGCATAACCTTTTGCTAGAGGGGAATAACCCTGGGGTACCGAATAAACTTTTTTTCATCAATAATGCACATGTTTACATATTACCTTCAAATGCATAAGATTTATAAATTAGTTCCACAGAATGATGCACAATGACAATCATATAAAGAAAATATACATTGCAAGTGAAATCCGTTTTTGCAACAGATGCCTGACCTATACCCTGGAAAAATATCTTGATCCCTACTTTTTACCACTACATATATGTGGTATAAATCTGAAGAGACCCAACATTATATAGCTCTTTAAAAGATAAACCACGTTTTCAAGATGCTACAAATTATACATGTAACTAAAAAGAGTCTAATTCATATTTGTTTCTCTTACATATAATCTGAAGAAATTTCACTAAAATGATACGAATTCTCACCTCAAATTGTATCTTCCTTTCAGAGCAATATTCTCGTAATTGCTTGGGGTTATTGAATGGATGGAACTCACACTGGTTGATGTGAGGAACCACAGAACACTCCTCAAGAATCACATCAAGGTGTCGTTCGAGGAAGTTGCTGACCCCAATGGCTCTCACGCGTTCCTCATCCAGCAACACCTGATGTGTTTCCAATATGTGAGAACATGGCAATATGATAATTTTTCATTATGTCACTGAGAAAGACAAATGGACATCCAGATACACAAATGCAAACACATACTCATTCATACATACTTTTTTCCCATTCTTATGTACTATCACTCTCACACTGTCACACTCACTCTTGCAATGGTATAATGCTTAATATCTGATCAACAATAAAACCTGGCCAAGAAATCTTCAAAGCAAACCTGTGATCAGGAAAATATTACAAATACATTGCTTTGTGTTAAAAGTATAAAACTAATGAAGACTAAATTATATTGATTTATTATTTTATCCACCAGAAAAAATATAAAGCAGATATGCATCTCTACACAATATATATATGCAAATTACAAGGTCTTATGTATCACACATATTTTTCCAAGAATTAGTAAAGCCAATCAATAAACTAACACTAAAACCCGATCTAGAAATTATTTATTTCCAATATTGTATGATTATATAATAAAATATATAGTAACAAACATACTTCTAAGTACTTATGGTCCGTAACAATCTAAAGACACACACACAAGAAAAAAAAAGAATGATATCATGCAAAAATAAAAGGTCAGACTTACCTCCAGTGTCCGCCATGTCTCTTGCAAGAGGCGGTTTCTGTCACTCACACTTGAAGGTACATCAGGCCAATGCAGGAGATAAAGATCTAATGGGTATTGAAAAATACAGGTCAGAACTTTTTTTCTTTTTTTTTGGGGTCATTTTTTAGGAAACATCTTTGTTTATTCTTTCTTAATGATCATTACTTTTCAGTGAATATAATTTTCCTAGAAATTAAACTTTCCCTCACTAAAACATGCAATATTTTTCCACGTGAGCTGTAGTAATAAGCCTCTTTCTATTATGTTAGTATGACAAGACTCAGAACGAGTGTTAGTTATTGAAGACTTCTGAAACTATACAAGAGATATAGGAAACTGTCATATTGAGTGAAGAACACCAATATCATCAAATGCCTAAAGTCTTTATTAGAAGGCCAAGAGCAGCTAACCTATGTAATCTGACCCCAGTCTTTCGCAGGAACCATTGAAGGCATTTCGAGTAGCAATGGTCCCATAGTCAGTGGGCCAACACTTTGTCGCCAAGAAGATTTCATCACGAGGGACTTCTGATTCCTGGCAATTTTTCAGTGCAGAGAGATTATGAAAGGATTATTTATAACAATATATTTTTAAAAAGAAAGTTTGTCTCAAACTAATTATTCTTGCTTGTATAACCTAGGTTGGTATTTAATCATAACTTAGAAATAAAGTCTTTACATTATATAGTCATATAATTACAAGAAATATTATAAAGTAAATTATAACACGATATATATCATAACCAAAACAACCATTACCTTCACAGCTTTAGCAATGTAAGCTTCACAACCGTATCGCTTGGCTGTATCAATATGTCTATACCCGCAATCTTTTAATGCATACACAACAGCTGAATGACTATATCCACCATTGTGTGATGTGCCTGCAGATGGAAACAAACCAATATGAAGTGTGTGAAATGCCATATCTAGCCAAGGACCAATATCAGAACCTAGCCACTTATGTAAACACTAAATATTGTTGAAATACCCTGTAGCTTTTCTTACCTAAACCAAGAATAGGCATTTTAACATTGTTGTGAAGGACCACATGTTTGTCTGGATTTGTATAAACATCAGCCATTACACTCTGCAAGCATGAAAATGAATTTTCACTTCAACAGATATATTCGCTTTCATGGGAAGGGTAAACAAATAATATAAGAAATATTAGTTAGTACAGATACTGATCCAAAATTATTGAAACATAAGACATATGACACTAACCTAACAATATGTTAACAAATATTGGAATAAATAAATAAACCAGTACAATGTCACAGAAAATAAAATGCTGAATAATAAAATATTAAACTTTATTACTACTAAATAATCTCACTACAAGAGACTGTATAGAATAGAAATTTGACATACTTAATACTACAATACTCATTTAATACAAACTACTACTACACTACTGCTAAAAAAAAAAAACAGAAAAAAAACTTATTTTCCACAATACGCAGGAATATCTTACCGATTACTCAAACGCAAAGTTTTGTCATTACAAATACATTTTCCACTGAATCTTTGTTCATTAACTTAAACCTACAAGCAAAATTCCTTGAATACATTGCCAGGTATGTAACTGTGTAAAAATTTAATACAAGACAAAATACCAAAACCATCTGTAACATTTGAAACCATATAAGTTATTATAGCCTTTAGTATAGTAAACAACTTAGCATATCTCTCTCTAGATTCAGATGCAACATCATATAAGTGATACCACACTTGTATAACATCACAGCAACTTGATCATTCTATTGTCTGCTTTCCTTTCATATTCCACCTTTGTTCAATACTTGATTTTATGGAAATAACATTATCCCATCATCACATAGGTTCACAACACAGTTCATGATTAATCTAAAGCTAAATACCTTCTCCCTGCCCTCCATGCATAATCACTAAGGAGAAAGAGGGCAAACACCAAGGCATTTAACCAGTCATAAAGCACTTGTATTTAATCCTCTCGAGCGAAAATTCGTCGCTCACCATGACCCATGAACACCATGGGATCCACACACGCCTCTCTCTCTCTCTCTCTCATTCTCTCTCCTCTCGCTCTCTCTGTTCCTCTCTGCTGACCCTCACAACACACTACCTCTCTTTCCTTCCCCTGGCTGCGTCTCCCCGCTCGAGATCCGCCGCCGACCGTCTGTATATATGTAACCTTGAGAATCTTGGCACCTACACCAACCTGTGGCTCCACACCTGCCCCAGGCCGCCTACACCGTCTATCATGCACACCCGTAGATGTGGAGTGGCGTATACTTACACTCTACGTCTGTTCTTTTGTCAGGAAATCCTTTATAACCGGAGAGAGTTGCCAAAAATGTGATGAGTTTGGGGTCAGCGGCTGAGGTACCCGGCGACTCACCTGTTGCTTACTGCCGGTAAAAAAAAAAAACATCGTCTGCTTGAACGCATGCTTTTTTCGATCACACTGCGACCTTCTTTTAATTCTACTACCACGAATTAATCGCAAACGAACTCAAAATGTTCAAAGCGATATGACAAAACTCTAAAATTGTACAGTACAATCTAGTCCTGTTTTACGTACCCTTTGAAGTGCAGAGCTGTGACTCTTATGTGATTTTTCTCATTATCATTGTTCCTTTGCTTTAACACAATCATTCGTACTATCAGTGCAACTGTCATATATTTTCTTTCCCTATATAATATTAGAATTGAACAGCACTCCTATTGTCGTCAATTGCATTTCCGTTTTCATGACATTAACAGTCTGTGTCATTCCTTAGCCCGGTGTTATTTATTCTTAACATTGCCAGCTTTAAGATTTATATGCTAATCATATAATACATAACGTCTTGAATTTTCACTTATATGACTTATATTGTTATTTCCGACACGTTATTTTAAAAAAGATAAATGTCTCATTGTTGCTATTCTCAAGACAAAGAGCATGAATTGCATTATTTTATATTCATTACAGTACTATTGGTAATTATAACAACAGTGATAACGATAAAAATAATAATGACGTGGATTATAGTCATATTGATGATGATAATTATAATAATAATAATAGCAGTGATAATGGTACAAAAAAAGTAGTCATGGTAATGATAATAATAATAATATTAATGATGATAAAAATAATAATAATAATAGTAAAAATTATAGTAATGTTAAAAATAATAATAATGATATTATAATAATAATAATAATAATAATAATAATAATAATATTATTATTATTAATAATAATATTAATAATGATAATAATAATGATAATAATAATAATGATCATAATGTTAATAACTATAATAATAATAATGATAATAACAACAACAGCAATAATAATAATAATAATGATAATAATAATAATAATAATAATAATAAGGATAATAATAATGATAATAATAATAATAATGATAATAATAATAATAATGATAATGATAATAATGATGATAATAATAATAAAAATAATAATAATGATAATAATAATAATAATAATAATAATAATAATAATAATAATAATAGTACTAGTAGTAGTAATGATGGTGAGGATGATGATAAAAATAATAATAATAAAAAATAATAATAATAATAATAATAATAGTAATAATAACAACAATAATAGTGATAATAATAAGATAATAACAGCAATAATAATTATAAAAATGATGATAATAATGATAATGAAAATAGCAATGCTGACAATAATAATAACAATAATAATAATAATAATAATAATAATAATAATAATAATAATAACAATACTGATAATAATAATGATAAAAAAAATAATGATAATAATTATGATGATGATGATGATGATGATAATAATGATAATGATAATGATAATAATGATAATAATAATAATAATAATAATAATAATAATAATAATAATAATAACAATAATTATAACAATAACAATAATAGTACTACTATTACAACTGCTACTACTGATAACAATAATAACAATAATGATGATAATAATAATAGTAATAGCAATAATGATAATAATAATAATATCAATTATGATTATAATAATAACAACAATATTAACAAAATGATGATAATGATAATGATAATCATACTAACAATGATACTATTAACAACAACAATAACAATAATAACAATGATGAAAGAAAATAATAATAATGATAATAATGATAATGATGCTTTTACTACCATTAATAATAACAATAATAACAATACTAATACTGCTACTGCTACTAAAAATGATACTAAAATAACAAACTGATACTGATAAAGATAATGATAATAATTACAATAATGATAATAATAATGATAATAACAATATTATTATCAATAATAATGTTTATTATTGTCATTATCAATATTTTTCCTATTATCAATATTATTACTCTTATTATTATTATCATTATCATTATTATCATTATTATTATTATCATTATAATAATAATAATGATTATTATTATAATTGTTATCATTATTTTTATTATCATAATGAAGATATTATTGTTATAGTTATTATCATTATGATTATAATAATAATAACAATAATAATAATGACACTAATATATTCTTGTTCTTCTCATTATCATCACTATTGTTATCATTATTATTATCATCATTATTATTGTTATCATCATCATCATCATTATCAATATTATTATCATTATTATTATTATCATTATCATTATTATTGTAAAAAAGTAATAATAATAATAATGGTAATGATAATAATAACAATGAAAAAAATAACAATAGTAATAGTAAAAGTAATAATGATAACACTAGGTAGATGACTATTGTACTAATATAATAACAATGATAATACTGATTATAATAATACTAATTGTAATAATAATAACATTGATAATAAGTTATTATCATTATTGTAATAATAACAATAATAATCATAACAATAATAATAATGATAGTTATTATTATTATCATAATTATTATTATTATCATGAACATGATGATCATCATTATCATTATCATTATTTCTATCATCATTATGATCTTTATTGTTATCATTATTATCATTTGTATGATGATTATTATTATTACAGTTATTATCATTATCAATATTATCATCTTTATTATAATTATAATCATTATTATTGTTTCATTACTGTTATCATGAACAATAATACTATTCATTATTACTATCATTATTAATTTTATTATCATTGTTAATATTATCATTATTATTGTTATTATTCTTATTATTATCATCATTATTATCATTGTTATCATTATCACTATTACTTTTTTATCATATAAATAATAAATTTTACTATCATTGTCATTTTGTTTAATTTCCAAATTATATCACTTTCACCTTCATTATCCTTATTATCATAAATATTATCATCATGATGACAATAATCATTATTATCATCATTATCATTGTGATCATGATTATCATTACTATTATTATCATTGTGATCAATGATTACCATTACTATTATCTTTATTATTATCATTAATTATAGTAGTGATTATCATCTTGTTATGACTATCATTATTATTAATATTTATATTCTTGTTCTTATTATCATTACCTTCATATTCATTATTTTTATCGTTATCATCATTGCTGTTATTATTATTATTACCCTTATCACTTTTACTGCTATCATTTTGTTTCTTATTCATATATTTATCTAGACTTGCCGCCCCCCACCCCATCCCCTCGAAGAAATACAATTTTAAACTTTTTTTTGTATTAAATTGTACCTATAAAGGCCTGCTCGTAGCTTAAAAATGCCCCTAGATTTGATATTTTTTTTATAGATTTTAGTTAATCTCTCGCCTATCCAACCTTGCCCCTCCCAAGAAAAAGCTGAAATGACGCCCTTGCCTATTATCATTATCATTTTTTCATTATTGATATCATTATCACTTGTTGTAGCAGGGTATTAGTCATTACCACAATCATCAGTGATAGTAACAGCAGTTGTAGAAGTGGCAGTGGTTGTAGCAGTAGAGTAGTTTTAGTAATAGCAGTAGTAGTAGTTTTTGTTACTGTAGATATTGCAGTAATAGTAGTAGTAGTAGTTGCAGTAGTGGCAATTGCAGCAGCAATAGCTGTAGCAGTAGTTCTATCAGTAGTAGTGGTAAAAGTGGTATCATCATACTGTGTATATCATATTCAACGATACTCGAATCATTGCTAATGGCATATACTGTATAGACCAGCATGCGATAGTTTTTACGGATGAGCAACCATCGTGCAAATAATAGATGAGATGATGGTATGAACATGGTAAGGAATGCACAAATAAATAAACGAGAATGTTGCTTACGTTTATTGTGCGCTGTATCTAGTTAATTTCCCTAAATCAACATCAACGCATAAACGGGTAAAGTTCGACCACGAAAAGTTCAGTCGGCCGTAAAAGACAAAAATCGTCGAGACTGCAACTCAGTGACAGATCAGAGAATGAATACATGAATGGACTTCAGTTAACAGAGCGAAGATATCCTACCTTTGTCTGACCCCGGCAGGCTTGAGCCACTTTGGTTGGAAGGACTCTATAATTAAGACTCCTCTACGTCTCCTCTGCCCGCCCTCCACTTAACCTGTCAAAATGTCTGGTTAGTAAATGTATCACAAGCTCGGTGGTGGTCCAACATGCAGTGGTAATAGTCTTGGGTTTGGCGATCAAAAGGTTGCTGGGTCTACCCTTGTATTGCTGCGGTGAGATTTAGTTGCTCTGGCATTTAATCCCGAATGGAATGAGCCTGTGGGATGGACGTGTTCGAGAGCAAGGGGGAGGGGGGATATCTTGTGATGTGTAACAAGTATAGGTAATTTGTAGATAGCCTAATTTATTTCAAGATAATTTTTATTTAGATTTGCAGGTAAAACTGGCGTAAAGGATGAAGGGAAGACGGAGGATGGAGACGAAATATTACACTACCGAATGACTGTGATATTACTGTCAACACATTGTTATAGAATCAGAAGGATTTTTTTTTTTTTAAGTGCCTGAATGCTGGTGAAATCTGAACACCTGATTTGGCCGTCGGTGCTCGTCGAACGTCTGGCAGCTCAAGAAGTGAATGTTCTTTTTTAGGCAACTGATAATATGAAACCTGATTTACGAATCCTGCGACAAGTAACCTCCGCGCTCGATAACAGATGGATAGTTAAGTTGATACGTCATCATCTGCTGGGTCCTGAGAAGGAATTTCACAGCGATTTGAATAAATTTCTCCTCGCGACGGGATACTTGGTGTCACGTGATACTTCTCCTGTCTTTGGCAAATTACAAACACGCGACCGAGTATGAAGACGACAGACTCTCTGTGTAACCCGAGTACTGAACCCAGACCAAGAACTCGTCCCTGGTCGATTACTGAGTCTAATGTCCTCCTTGACTTCGGTACATTCAGTTGTTTAGTAGGAAAGATGTAGCAAAG